ATATATATATATATGTATGTATTATATATCAGGGGCTATTCTAGACCTTTTTCGATAGCTTCGAACGTATTTGAGAACTTTCATTTTCTTTCGTTACCCTTTATAAATGATCATTCTCATTTGAAAACAAAGGGTTACTTTGGCCAGCGGGGTTACTTTGGCCATTTTTAAGAGGTTTATTTAAACATCTGTAACTTTTAAACAGTTAAGTAACGTTTTACTATATTTGTAAAACGTTACTTAACCATTTAAAAGTTACAGATTTAATTTAAATCTGTAACTTTTTGTTTAATTAAAACTTTTATAAATGGCCAGAGTAACCCCCTGGCCAAAGTAACCTTGTGTTAAGGTATGTTTTAATTAGCTTTAATTAGTTTTTTTAGCTCTCAAACTTCTGTCCTCAAAGCTTTAATAGTTTCTTCCTTTCTTTTAATGTTTTGCCTAAATACTTTTAACTTATATGAAATGCTATTGTATTTTGATTTCACTTTTGCTATTTTTTTTGGTGATCTTTGGTAGAGTTCGCTATCTGAGCAAATAAATATGATAACCTATTAAGGAGTTTTGATTTCTTTGGGGTGAGATTTTCTCTAGATGTATGTCTTCTAACTGCATTTTCGATAGAATTTTCAGATAAGAAAGATTCCCGATTAACTTGAGGTAAAATATTAATATGTTCATTGGTTGGTTCGACAGAAGACCCTGGAGTTAGATTAAATGAACTACTTTGATTAGGACGTATCGTCTGTGTCATTCGCTGGGCTGGAGCATAAAAAGCAAAGTGCTCATTGCAAAATTCAATAAAATGTTTACTATCCTGTAAATAATTACGAGCCTAATTTTTTGGTATATTAGTAACATTCAAGATTTGATATCTACCTGTTTTTAAGTTAAATATATCATTAACTTGTTTACAAGATTTAGAAATAGACTCACCATTGTTAGTGAATAAAAGAATTACATGTCCATTTTTACATAATGTACTTATTTCTCCAACATGAGTGAAATTTGTAGCTAAGTACTGCCTAAATGCACCACGAAAAACACTTTTGGGTCCATATTTCTTTAACATATAAAATTGATTATTCGTATAACATTTTGAAACTCTCTAAAGTACTAACTAAAACAATAGGTGTAATAAAAAACTTATAGAAAAACTATACATATCTTGTACACCAAGTATTGGTGAGATTGAAGTAAAACAAATTTTATAAATATTTAGTTGCTATAAAAGAAATTAAGTGAATTTAAAATAGAACTTTTACAAAATAACTGAAAAATAAATTACTCAAATTACAAACTTTTACAGTTTTTTAAAAATTCGATTTTTAGTTATGAGTCTATTATAATTATGAGAATCATTGAACTTTAAACATTGCGATTTTGTAGCAATGTGTCATATACATATCGTATCGTACATATCGTAGCTTTGTAGCTAGCTACAAAATATCTACATATCTATAGCTAGTTGATAACTACATACCAAAATTTTTTGATAGCAATTTTATTACGATATGACGGTAGCTACATTAGCCTGTGAGTCTTTAGCTTATTAAGCTAGCTGCCTCGTAGCCAAATTTCGATCTTTATCTTTACAAATATCGATAGCTTTTCGCTAACTTAAAAAAGCTAGCGATCTTCGTGGCCAAATTGCTGTCTTTATCGTTACAAATATAGCTAGCTATTCGCTAGCCGATTTCCCACCGGGTGGTCATCAAGCGTCAAGCATTGATAATTAAATAGGAAAATTGACTAGACTTAACCTAGTAAGCTTAAGTAAGCATTTTAAAAATATGAATCCTAATCTTTCAAATCTTTTCTAAATAAAAACTTTGTCAAATAAAATCTACTTACTCTCTAGTAGAGAGTAAGTACATTTATTTTTTCCGGAAAAAGCAGGAATTTATTTTAAAAAAAGATTTGAATGATTTAAATTCATTTTTTTAAAAATGCTAATTTACTAGATTAAGGTTTAAAAAAATAAAGGAGTTGAGAATTTGCTAGAAACTTCTATTTTACAATAATTGTGTGAGTTAAAATGCAAACAAATATAAATGTTTATATAAAATCAAATAATGAATAAATAAATAATAAATAAATAATTTTAGCACAAAATTCGGTTCCGTAAATCGTAATTTCCGCGTACCTATATATATATATATATATATATATATATATATATATATATATATATATATATATATATATATATATATATATATATATATATATATATATATATATATATATATATATATATATATATATATATATATATATGTATATATATATAGCAAAAATATAGAACACGCAAATACATTTTTACTTGTGAAAATATGCCTGAAAACGCCTTGTAAAAACATACCTTGAAAAAATATACCGCTCCGCGGTATTGTTAAAATTAAATACAATAACAATTAAAATACAATAATATTGTTTTTTATACTTATTAACTAACCGGTTTTTAATAAAACCCACTACAATGAATTAATTTTATACCTTGTTACCACAGAAGTAGCCAGAATGTTATTTCACTATTGAAAAGTCTATTTCAGAAAATTTATAATAAATAAAAAACTGGTTACCTCTGAAGCAACATGGTCTAATCAATCAATCTTTAAAGACCCACAAGAACAATAATGAAAACATTGTTTCTTTTCTTGTTTTTTAATTTACAAAATGCATTATTTATTTGATAATATGCATAAAATTGAGGAAATTCGGAAATTATCGTATGTAATATAAAGATTTAGTTTTTTTGCCCCTGAAAATCCCGCACTTAAAAAAGCAAATTAAAAAAAAAATTGTTACAAACATTTTTTATTAATTAATGCTAACTTGTTTCGTTAAAAAATACTCAAAATATTAAAGTTAAATTTTTTTTTCAGAAAAGAAAGTAAAATCCTATTTCCGCTTCGCGACACATAGTGCAACGGTACAAAAACTGTCTACAATCTTTTATGAAAATTTAATTCGTGGGAAGTCAGGGTCTGTAAGATCGTTTGGTTGTGAAGTACTTCTGGTGAAGAACCATGACTCAGGTAAAACAGGTGAGTCAGGTAAAACAGAACTTAAAATTTGAACACATATCTTATGCGATTGTTCCAACAAAAAAGGCTGATTAAAAGTTATCAAACAAAAGTTTTTCATAATCAAAAAGAACAATCGTATTAAGAGATTAAAATGAATCAGAGACCACTTGAACTTTTAAAAAAGATTTTTTTAATTTAAAAAGCACTTAAATATATTATTAAGTCGTAACAGTAAAAACAAATTTTTATATCGAAAAAAGTTGAAGCTATGACCAGAGAAATATCATAAATATAGCATATTTTATCTGAAGTTTTAAAAAAAAATTATTGAAATCCTAAAGTCAGATTTTAGAAAAATGATTATAAATAAAGAAATCTAAAAAAAATAAATAAATTATTTACACTAAAAAGCTATTAATTAAAAATAAAGTTTAAGCTAAGATTCCTCATACCTTTTTTTATATTAATATATTGACGTTAAAATTAAAGCTAGAGTATCGATTTTTCAAAAATCAAATAACAAATGAACGGTTATATTTTCTCTAGCTAAAAACACATTGTCATTTAAAAATTTCAAAAGTTCTTTGTATTTTCTAACGCTTGCGTTCCTAAACAAAGCGCTTGTAAACGACCGTGGGGTGATTGGAAAAATTTCTCAAAACTAATAAATGAGAACATAATACCATGATATTTCTGAGAACATAAATACCATGATATTTTAATGCACCAATCAAAACAGAGCAATACACATCTATTTCCGGATAGAAATTATATTTCTCAACAATGATGCAAAACAAGTAGCAAGATAAAATAAAATGCACTAAATTCTAGATTACCTATATTTTAGTACACCAAATCTTAATAAAATCGAGAACACTTTAGTCTATATTAGATGTTAAACTCAAAAATAGAAAGCTTAGTATTAAAGTGGAATTATGCTTAACACTTTTAAATGGTTAACATTAGTTGCAAGATACCTTGTTAACAAAACTGGTTGAAAGCACGCCCCACAGATGCCAAGCTACAACCACGCCCCACAGATGCCAATTGAAGCAAAAAAGTTATGCGCCCAATTTTTTTTTTGAATTTGAACTGAATAAAATATTAAAAGACTGATTGAATTTCTATTAATGGAAAAGTGTATGTGTTAGGAACTTAGTATTTAACATCAAAAATGTAAGAAACAATAACTAATTTAGCTTTCTTTTGAAAATAAAAATTTGAATTTTCCCAATTTAGTTATCTTTTACCACTTCCGTAGTTTTGTCCAACAGTTTAATCAGTCTTTTTTTTTAATTTTAAAATCAAGGATATCGTGTAGTAGAAGTTATTATTAAACATGTTCAAAGTTTAATAATAATTTCTATTACACATTATCTGAAAAAAAAAAAAAATCGACACAATTGAATTTTTCGGCTTTTTTTTTTAAAATCATGCTGCCCCAATTTTTTAAAGACAATGTATATGTTTGTGTGTGTGACATATTGACACTATTTATTTAAAAAACCTAAAATTGAAAATTAAAACAAACAAACAAAAGAAAATTCTGAGTCTTTTTTTCCTTCACTGAAAAGTATCAATGGATTGATATTTGTTTTTATTTGTTTCTTGCCGTTATTAATATGATTTCAGAATATGATTTCAATTTTAAAAAAGTACATTAATTTTTAAAATAATTTACAGGACACGATTAGAAAATCAACAGCATCGTGCGAAGTTTTGTAACTTCACTTTGTTATCTTAAAACATGACTGCACAATCAAAGCTATTCGTGATAAGATTTACACAACCTCGTCGATGATTAAAAGGAAGAAAACACCTATACAAGTCAAACTTCACCTTGTTCAGCTTTCTAAAAATAAAATAAAAATCATTCTTTAGTACATAACAGTTTCAATTTGTTTTACAACAAAAATAGTTTTTTCAAAAAAAAAAAACCTTGTCTTTCTTCCTTTTCTTTTTTTTTTCTTTCTTTTTTTTATCACCTTCTTCCCTTTTCCTCTACAGAAATCGATAATTATTTTAATACACATGATTTACAGTTACACAGTTCTGCAGCATCATACACAGTTACTGCAGCAGACGCGTTTAGACGCAAGCACAAATACAAAATACTTATTTTGCATTTATGGTCTATAATTTAGTAAACCTGTTTTAAAGTTGTTAAACTTTTGTTTAACAACTAATTTAATTAGATTTTTGCACAAAGTTGCAAGTTTTTAATATAAAAATCAATCTTTAAAATGCAAATATAGAATAAAAATAAGCTAATGCTAAGGCATTTTATAAAACCTTAATTTTTTACTTTTTTTATTCTTTTAGTTGTCGCTTATTTATAAGTAATTGTTTGAAATTATACGAAAAAGTTTTAACTTTATTAATTTTATCTGTTTATAAAAAAGTTTAATCAAATTGTCTCTTTGTAGAGATTTTAAAGATTTGAAATTTAAAATACTTCTCAAAAATCCTCTTATTCATAAAATTTGATAAAAACATAAAATATTTATGCAAGCTACACCAAAGTTCCTAAAATAATTAAAAAATAACAAATTTTTTTCTAAAAAATATAACTTTTTCAATCACAGAAACATTTGATAGGACTATTTTAAAAACTTTTTTATAAACTAGTCATGAAGTATTTGAAAAGTAAAGTATAAGTCAGCATTAACTTAAATGCGCTTGTAAAAATGTTTACAGTTATTTCATTTGAGCTTAGATTAACCTACCTTATCCATTGTATAGGATCCAATAAAACATTTTGACTAATCTTTTATCGCCAGAGTATTGTTTGCCATAAAATGCCAGTAAAAAAGGCATAGAAAACAAGTAAAGTCAAAAGGCCAGTCTTGCTTTTATTTAGTTTTGGAAGCTATGTCTTGTCCAAACTTGTCATTTTTTTTGTCTTGGCTGGGTCATATCTAGGTCTTGGACAGGTTTATTTTGTCTTGGTGTTGGAAGTCAATGTGTTTTTTTCAGATTTTTAAATTCATTATAAGTCTAATAAATAAATAAATTAAAATCTATATTTTTCAAACATAATTGTTAAATTCAAAATTAAAGGTTGATTTCTTTTTTTTGATAATTTTAAACTAAAACATTTTTAAAATCAAAAAATATTTTTAGAATAAAGATCAAAAGAAAATGAAAAAAAAATTAACTTTTTTTTTTGGTGCGACAATAAATGTCCTTCATATTTATATTGTACTTGATGAAACACTCACTATATGTAAGTACTGAAGCCCCACAGATGGCTATCTCAGTAAAATGTCATTAGTTATGTTTCATACACAACAAATCTACATGATGTTTTTATGTTTCTGTTTTCAAAAATCATACCAGACAGAAATGTCAAATTTTTAAAATTTTGAAAAGCAATTAAAAAAAAAATTTAACAAAAAATAACTAAAAAATAATAATAATAATAATAATATTACAGAGTAAAACTAAATACATATAAGACTTTTATTTATGAATACACTCATATACAGGGTTGGAGTTATATTTAATCTAATACAAATACATTTAAATACAAATATATGTATTTTAGGTTAAAAAAAATACAAATATTTTTAACATTTTTATATTTATTTCTTAACAGCTATTGATCAAATTTAGTTAACTTTATTTACTACTTAAATCTTTATTTAGCTAATATTCATTCGTTCTATTAAATAACTCATTTGTTCTGTTAAATAATTAAATAATTTTATAGAAAAATTTAATTAAAGTTTAAAACTCAAAAACATTTCTAATTAAAATAAAAAATATGAAGAACTTGTTCAACAATACTGATAAAATGGTATACTAATTAGAAAAAATAAAAAACAATTCTATTTATAAATATCACTTTAAAACAAATTTTTAAACTAAAAATGAAAAAAATTACAAAAAAACAACAATAACAAATCTCTTGGTTTTTCTCCAAAAAAAGAAAAGTAGAAATATTAAAAAAAAAAGTTTATTTGAATATAATACAAATGAAAATAGGACAGAATACTGTATTATAACCAAATACAAATACAAATGCAAATATGTATTTGACCCCGACACTATTCATACCCAGTATGAATAGTGAATATATAAAAACTAAATCATTTTTATAAATACTTTTGTAACCTTTTAATAAACGTGAAAATAAATAGTTTTTTAATTAGCTGTTTTAAAAATGCTAATTGAGCACCAAGTGTCTTAATTTTCAAGTTACCTTCAATTGTTTCTTTAAGACAGTTATAGTTTTTGTCATCACTGTATTATTAAAATTTAAAAACTCTGAATGTAAAAAATACTGCCTGTGGGAGAAACGCTTAAAAAGAATATAAACAAGTGTTTCAATATAAAATGAATCAGCTGATATTGCAGTTGACAATTCTCTTGAAATAATAAAATACATAGCAAAATTAAACAGTTTCTTATCTTAAAATGGTCTTCCAGTAGACCAAGTTACATAGGTGAAATAGATTTTATATTTATAGAATAAAATTAAAAAAAAAACATGTTTTTTATAAATTTGTTGTTCAATACTAGTTGGTAAATTGGTTTTATAAAAAACCAATTTACCAACTAGTATTGAACAACATTTTGGATAAAAAAATGAGATCAACCTCAGGCAATATTAATTTTCAAAAGATTTTAACATGCATAGATAAATACTAAAAATGTATTGGGCATTTCTTTTAAATTTTCTGAGGCCATCTATCAAATCATCATCATTATCATGCATGACGGATGACTAAACCATTATATTGTCTAAAAATTGTTCAAAGGCCATTTATAATTATATTATTAGGCCATTTATAATTTATTTTAATTTAATCTGAAGACTATGCTAATGCAATTTATTAAAAATTGATATGTTCAAAGGCCAATATATAAAAAATTGATATGTTCAAAGGCCAATATATTAAAAATTGATATGTCCAAAGGCCAATTTATTTAAATTCAATCTGAAGACTATGCTAATGCAATGAAATAGCGAGGTAATAATTTTTTTTTATAAAACGATTTCAAAGTCAACAAAATTAAAAATAGTAGAAGCTGCCGAAAATGGTAAAATCAATATTAATTGTAAAAAAAGACTACAATGATGGTTTATATACTTTTAAAAATCCTATGGATGTTAATTACATTGCTGAATAAAAAAAACAATGTATAAAAGCTTACTCACACATAATAAATACTAGAAATAGTCTCTCCTGCACAGTGAGCCAAGCAGTGAACATTGCTCAAATATCAATCTTACAAAAATAAATTTAAGCTAGTTGTTATTTGATATTCAAATAAATTTCCAGTTTATTAAAAATTATTTCAAAAGCATGATTTGTTCAGGAATTACACAAGTTTAAATAACTTAACTTTTTAATAACTATACATAATTTGTGAAAGTCATTTTGGCATAATATAAAAAATATGCAATGTCTTTCAGAGCTCTCTCTCTCTGTAGTCTCTTACAGTGAAGTTTAAATGTATAACACTCTATAAGCAGTGCTAATGTAATAATTGCATGTAGAGACAATCTTAGAATCCAGGTTATGGAAATGTGAATGTTAACTTTATAGATCATTGCACAAACTTTTTTTTACATTTAGTCTAAAATTTAGTTGTTTTTTAACTAATTTTATATCAGGAAAAATAATTTATCTCAAAAAGTGCAAAGTTGGCACTAGTAAAACCATTATTAATTCAAACTCTTATAACAAAGAGAAATAAGATGCTTTTTAACTAAACTAACTTGAACAAGAAGGTGGCTCTTTACTTCACAAAGGCCAGGCAAACCTTCAAACTAATTCCAACCTGTGATGCAAAGCCAATACAAGTAAATTGCTATCTTGTAATAGCGTTAATTTTATTCTGTATTTTTGATATGTGAACATACTTGATATTAAAAATTATTACATTTAGAAATTACTGATATTTTTATAGGTTCTTCATGCTCTACAGTGTACATTTGACCACTGCATAAAGACTGTTGTACACAAGAAACAAGAAAGTGCTTCAAATAGATTTCTGAAGCAAAAAAAAGCCTTCATTACAAACAGAGATATTAAAAACAAAACAAGGTATAAAATGGGACTACCTGATGCAACTGGAAAAAGAGAAACAACAACAACAGATAATACAATTACAATTGCACAAAAAATTAAACATATAATTAATTATTGCATGAAATAATTAATATAGATTAATTTTTGTAATGAAAGAGCACATTCTGAAAAATATTTTCATTAAAAAAATGTCTCTAAAAATATAAGACGACACATATTTTGAAATGTTAACATATGAATAATTTTTTACATATGATATATATGAATAATATATGAATAGTTTTTTAATTTATTTAATTTAGTTTTTTAATTTATTTAATTTAGTTTTTTAATTTATTTAATTTAGTTTTTTAATTTATTTAATTTAGTTTTTTAATTTATTTAATTTAGTTTTTTAATTTATTTAATTTTTTACATATGATATATATGAATAACATATGAATAGTTTTTTTAGTATTTTAGTACTTCTTTTAATAATCTTTTATTGTTTTTGTCATTGATGTTTTTATGTTATCATAGTATTACACTACATACATATTTATATTCATGTATACATATTTTTGTTATAATCAATAAAAAAAAGTAAATTTTATGAAATTTCAAATAGTTTGTTTTTCCAAATTATGACCTAAAAAAAATATTTTTTAGTTTTTCCAAAATTGACATATAAAAACCTTTCCAAAAAGTTCTCAATCAACCTCATAGCACTTTCCATTCAAAAGTTAGGAACCAATATTCGTGAAAACAGCTGTTTAGCCTAATGTGTCCTGTGATATAACAATGTCAACAACTTTTTCCCAATATGAAAAAGACATTAATTAAAATAAGTTTTCTATTTTACAACAATACTCTGTATTTTAAAATGAATAAAAATATTGAATATTGTTGTAAGAAAATTTTTTTTCTTGTGGAGGTACAAATTTCTAGAATTTATTGCAACTATTATATTTTCTGTTTAATTAAGATACTTGAAGGCACATGTTTTTAACATTCCATTTTACTCAAAATTGAAATGAATTCTTGTAAATCATTATGAAACAGAGGTTAAGGGGGTTGAGACAATATAAATTTCAAAAAAGTGCTTCCCATATCATGGAAAAACTTTCCTAGCATGGTTGTTTTTTATTATATGAGAAACTCACACACAAAAAAAAAACAATCGCTAAATGCAATTTCATAAATATAATCAGAAAACAGTCATTCAAATAAATGTTATAAACATTAATATCTTACTTTTTTGTGCTTTCGTTCTGTTGATAATTCTAAAAAAGAATAAAAAATCAATTATAAACAGAAATAAAAATTTATAAACAGAAAACTTTAATTTTCAGATATATGTCTGTATATTTTTTAAATGCATTAAAAAATATACAGAAATAAATATTGAAACTGAAACAGAGCTTTGAAAAGAACTGATCTAATCCACATCTGCTAAAATAATTTAATAAAATCAATTTTAACAAGTTAACTTGTTTTGTTCAGAAAAGAACTTTTTTTTGTTTTATCATTTTATTTATCATTAATGATTGCTTTTGATCTTCACATCTTCGAGATCGAGCTTATTCATCTTCGAGATCGAGCTTATTTAAGCATTGTTTAAGCTCATTTGCTCAAGACACCAGACCTTTGTTTTAAAGTGTTACCCAGTACACCATTTTTGTTAGAAACTAGTAATTTTGCATAAATATACACTTTGTGTATATTTATGCAAAATTACTAAAAATATGATATTCTAGTAAATAAAGTTACTAGTGCAAGGAAAATAATGCACATTGATACATTGGGAAGTCTGCTTTTCTTCAAGGAATGTGTGATTTCTCTTCATTGTATTTCAGTTACTGATATTATTATTGTTTTTAAATTGTGGCAAGACTTATTCAGCCTTATCCATCAAAAGTTAGGTTATTTATCATTTAGTTGTCAATTGGTAAAAAGTGTGAGTCAAAAGTGTTTGTTGATTTTTGTTATTGATTATTGGAAAAATGTTTTGCAAGTATTTCGAGTTCAAGAATATCAACATAAGTATTGGTTAATAATCTAATTAGTTATGGATAAAAATTTGTTATTTTTGTTAATATTAATGCAAAAGTCTTGATTTATAACCATTCTGACCTCATTGTTTTTTTGTTTTTTAGTATGGGCAAGTCGTCAGATTTAACCCCCAAAAAATGAAGCAAAGTAAAAACCTTACTTCTTCATTCCACACATTTTCAGAGAGAAATTGCAGTGATTGCAAGTGATTTTCAATATCAGTTAGGTTTTCAATATCAGTTTCAATATCAGTGATTTTCAATATCAGTGATTGCAGTGATTTTCAATATCAGTTTTAGTACTTTGAATGTTTTCGAATTCAGTAGTGAACCAAATTAAAAGAAAAATCAATATAAATTTGTAGCAAGCTTTCTAGAAGCAGACCACTTAAGAAAAAGTGTCAGAAAAAAGAATCAATACATTATTGAAAAGAATCAATACAACATTGTGACCGTAAAATCAAGACCATCTTCAGTTGGCTGAAAAGAATTTAATGGGTAGTTGTCAAATCCAAAAAAAACACATTTGACTGAAGCTAAAAAAATAATAATAAAATGATTGGCTAGTAAACACCAGAAGAAGACTGGAGTAGAGTAATTATGACTTAAAATTTCAAAAACCTGAAAAAATTACATTTTTATAATTGCTTTTGCTGCTTTTCAGGACTGCCTTTTGGAAAATGTTAAACATTTTGTGAGTGTAATTGCGCGGTCTGTGACATTAGCCAAGGGTAAAAGTTGCCTCTAAATAGTCGAAAGAACCATGAGGCAGGACTAGTACAAGCAGGCATTAAAAAATAGGCTCCTGGTTTAGACCCAAGAATAGTTCCCTGCTAATTAAGATTATATAGGTTCATGCAAGACTCGGCATCGTGCCACAAAGCTAGGAGTGTTACAACACTCCTATCTGAAAAAAAAGAGATTTGTTGCGTTTTCCAGGACATTTTATATCTTATTAAATGAATATTATCAATTATCTTTATGTTATATTTTTATATTGATTGAATTTTAGAATAGAATTTATTTTTTCAACACTATCAAAGATGGCAAGTTCTCTATAAAACATCATACTATTTCTCACTGAACCAAAGAATACCATTTATAAAAAAAAAGATTTTAACTAAATACCCTTTTATTACCAACATTTTTCTTCTCAATCAAAACCAAATTAAGAAATTTTTATTCGAGTATATATTTAGTGAATATTAATTTTATCTTTTATCCTTATTGCTTTTTTTATATTACTGTATTTATAAAAATATTATTACTTTTATTTTATACTGTCTTTTTTAAGTCTATTACTAATATTAATATTATCATTAACTTACATTTTAGAAATTTTATTAATCTTATTTATAATGATAGTGATTTCATTGTAGTAATGTTTTCATGGTTATTGTCCGAATTTGTGCAAATGTTGTTTATTTTAATAACTTCTGTCATCATGGTGGCTAAAAAATTTTAATAGTTAAATTCCAGGACATTTCCAGGACATTCCAGGACATTTTGTTGCGTTTTCCAGGACATTTTATATCTTATTAAATGAATATTATCAATTATCTTTACGGTATATTTTTTTCATATTGACTGAATTATAGAATAGAATATTATATTATTATTACTCTCTTATTGAAAATTAAATTCAAACTATTTATATAAAAAAATTTTTCGCATAAAATATTTAATATTACTTCAATATTCTTAGTAATTTTTAACTTGACTCAGAAAAAAAAAAGTTCCAGGACATTTCAGGACATTTTTGAAAAAAATCTAATTTTCCAGGACATTCCAGGACACTTGCAAAAATCCAGGACATTCCAGGACATTTCAGGATTGTGGCCACCATGCTTCAGCACTACATAAAAGTCTGCATAGAAAGCATGTCCTGATGCCTAAAAGCTGTTATCGTAGCAAAGGGTTGGTAATACAAGAAGTTAAGATTATTAACCAATTTATTATGTTAACACTTTTTTGAAAAAAATAGCTATGAATAAATAAAAATAAAAATAGCTATGAATAAGAAATAATGTTGTTTTATATTCTAAATAAAGCCCTCTAAGGATAAAAATGATAATAAAAAACAAACTAAAAGTTATGTATTTATTTATTAAATCCATTTAAAAATTAAAATTTCAAAAAAAAAGTAAACTGTCGTTGATGATTTGGCAACCCAGTGTATAATTAAATAATAAATTAATAACAAATAAAAATTATCAAATTAAAAACAATAAACAAACTTCAAATTTAAGAATATGTTAAATTTTAAGCTAATCTTTTTAATTGAGATAATCAGCAATCAGAAAAATTTATTGATTGTTTTAATACAAAGCTAACAAACAAAGCATAAAAATTTATTTATTATCAAGCCCATATTTACATAGACTCATAGTTTCATGTTACACCTTGTTCATGTATGGAAACTATAGCAACAATTGTTATCAATCATTCTAAATTTTGCTACTTAAATGAAATTAAAAAAAAAAAAAACTATTTTTTAAATTAAAAAAAAAAAGTTGATTAGTCATGAAAAAAAAAACTAATTTCAATTTAGCTAAACAAAATTTCACTTTTAATTTAAATTTAATTATTGTTTTGATTTAAATATAACAATTAATTTTATTACTTGACACATTTGAGCTAGCCTAATAAAACATGCATAATGAAAATTTATGCAACTCCAAAAGTCATACTTACAAGTTTTATATGAGAAAAATAGTTTCTTTTAATACCATCTTTAAGTATTTAACAGATCGTACAGTACCCAAAAATGCACAGAAACCTCCTTAAGGCCCACAGAAACCTCCTTAAGGCCCACAGAAACCTCCTTAAGGCACAGAAACCTCCTTATACACAAATGCACAGAAACCTCCTTATACTTATAATTAATAAGAAGTTTTTAATAAAATAATTATTTAAACCAATGTTTTATTTTTTAATATCTTGTAGAAATATTATAGTATATCCATAATAGTTGAATTTTCAAATAAGTTTCTTAGAGTCAGTACTCAAATTCAACAATCAATTTTGCATTATCTTTTATAAAATTGTTTTGTTACAATAACACCAGGGTAAGCACATATTAACCAATTTGTAAACAAAAAACTCTAAAGATAAGAAAATAATAGAAAATAATTGGTACTTGCAAAAAAAAAAAAAAAAAGTTTTTATTCGCAAAAAAAAGGACTTAACATTGTTTTAAGTTAATAATTTGTTTCAAAGGTTGAGAAAAGAAACTAATTTAGATTTATATCATAAAATTAGAAGATAAATATTTAAACGTTACAACATATTTCATTTATTTTTAGTTAATTTTTCAACAATTATTACTTAAACTTATTACTGATTTAAGGTGGCAAATATTGTAACTAAAGTAATCAAATAGTCATTAAATTTCAATCATAAGTCATAAAACTAACAAAAAATCTAAAATAAGAAAATGGCAAATATAAAAAGGCAAAAATACTTAAACATACCCGTTAGTGATGTTTCTGCTACACTATGCTTATGTTTTTTCTTTTTCTTCTTGTCATATGGTTTATTCATAAATTTAAATTGATCTGGTACCTGTATTTCCAAAATTATTTTTTTAATCAAGATAAAATTAATTGTGCTCATTTCAAATTCTATATATATCTTACCTACTTTCTACCAATAAAATTATTTACCTTATTTTATATAGTATACCAATTTAATAAAGTATTAAATTGATACACTATAACTATATAAATATATTATTATTAGTTATATTATTATATCAATATATATTATTATTAGTTATATTACTATATATATATTATTATTAGTTATAATACTATATATATTAATATTAGTTATAATATAAACTTGTAACTATATCAATAACATTTTTTTTAAACTAAAAAATAAATTAAAAACTGACTGATCCAGGCATCAAACGAAAGCTTTGAAGAGCAGATTCTGATAAAGGTAAGAGTTCTCTACCACCAATTGGTGGTCTTTCAACCAACTGCTGTAGACTAAAAAATTTTAAAAATTATATTTATGTATAACATATACACATACATAAATTAAGAAACCGGATTTTCTTTTAATTATTTTTTTAATTTAAATTTTGAAAGTTTGTGAAAAGTTAGAACTGTAGCCACAACAAAATTTACTTTTCATCTCTTGTAACTAACTATCAATGAATATAAATTATGCAAAATAAAAAATTCTTGAACATAAATTATGCAAAATAAAAAAATATAAACATCTTGTTTGCAAGTTAAGAAACCAATAAGTTAGTTTTATTAATAAAAGTTTCAGAATTAAAAGCCATTTAAACATTCATTTAACCTATTTAATCTATTAGAATCTTATGAATATATGAGTATATATGAATATATATATATATATGAATATACAGGGGATAGACCGTTTTCGATAGCGTCGACTGTATTTGGGCACTGATTTTTTACATTTTTACAGCAAATTTTGTTTTTTGCGCAAAAAAATGCTGATTTTCTGCTAAGATCCGCCGAAACAAGGGGGTACCGCTGCCCAAATTTTTTTCTAAAATAGACCCTGATATATATGAATATATATATATATATATATATATATATATATATATTCATTTATTCACATATATATATATATATATATATATATATATATATATATATATATATATATATATAGGCAAATATATACATTTATATTAAAAAACAAACATTTATGCTACATTTTCACATGTAAAAGTTAAAGATTTTAAAACTTGCATCATAAAAATGCTCTTAAATCTTTGTTGGTGTGAAAGCTATTTAGCAACGTTTTTTATAAAATATGTACTAAACATAGTCAAAAAAAAAATGAACTCAAATAATTGCATTTAAAGTTTAAAAGTTATCAATAAAAGCCAAACAAATTATAAGTAATCGTTGTTATGTACAACATTTACTTACTTTTAGTTATGGGGTATTATTTTATTATTATTACATATCAACAACAAACTTATTATTACATATCAACAAACGTATCATTACATATCAACAACAAACTAAAAGTAAGTAATTGTTGTTTAGTGCACTTAAAAATTTTAAGCCTAGTATATTGGTGTTTGCAAAGAAACACTACATAAATCATTTTTTAATGTGAACTAACTTTTTCCAATTTTGTTTTATAGGCTTGTTTGGTGCTTTAACACCCATATATTATCAGCCCTCAGAATTAAGGTTGCCAAAATCGCCAAACTCATTTCTAAGTTTTATGGTAGCCCTTTTGTGTCAAATTTTTTTTTGTTGACCTGATGCTGACCTCTAACAGTTGAAGGTTGGCAATTTATTGTCGACCTCATTATTACTAATTTCGAGGACTGTATTATTTAAAACTATGTAATATGAGAATAAAAGCCTAATATTTATATGAAATAAAATTTATAATTTTAGAATGAAATCTATTTGTAATTTTTTTAATATTATATCAAATATAATGAACTTTTTTATTTCGTTGTGGCTAGCGCAACAGTACTGTTGCTTTAATTTTTTATCTTAAAGTCACGGTAGTAAAGTTTGATTGATTTATTTCAAGTCACGGCTGCAAATATTATTGGTCAATTTTGAAAGTTTTATTTGTACAAACTTAAAAAGAATTGCAGCTCTAAATTGTACCCTTAGTATTGTGGTATCTCATTGGTTCATCTTCCACGGTGATCCAGGATTGAGTCCTTCATAAGAAAACTATTTTTTATTGAAAGCTATTATTATTGTTGTATATTGAAAGTTACATTGATTTTTATTATTTACATGCATCGACTAATATAGCAATAGGCGCAGTGAGTGTACATGCATCCACTGATTTAGGGATAGGCGCAGTGAGCGTACATATATTCACTGATTTAGGGATAGCCACAGTGAGTGTACATACATCCACTGATTTAGGTATAGGCAAAGTGAGTGTACATTCACCCACTGATTTAAGGATAGGCAAAGTGGAGCGCACATACATATTTTGGGACAGGCGCAGTGGAGAGCACATATATTGATTAAAGTTTTGGTTTGGGCATGCATTCTTTAAATTAACCATCAGAAACCTTTAAGAAAAAAATTAAAGCTACAGTGTCGTTGCATGTTGTTTTTATTTATATTATAATATTTATTTATATTATTTAACTTTTTTATATTATTTAACTTTTTTATATTATTTAACTTTTTTATATTATTTAATGTTTTTATTTATATTATTTAACTTTTTCTTTGAAAGAAAATTAGATAATATAATATTACACATTTTGCTGATTTACCGTGAATTTTGTGGAAGCATAGTGTATAAGCAACATAAAAATACAATTTTAAACAAAAATTACCTATCTTCTTGAGTGCCTGGAGAATCAATGTAACCTAAAAAATAAAAATAAATTAAAAAATAATCATAAAAATTTAGGGCAGCCTATTTAGCCCTGATAAATGTAACAACCATGGAGATTGGGTGTTTTATATCAGAAAATTCTTATTTAAAACCAGGTAATTCCAGATAAAAATAGAGCACAAAATTAAAAGTTTTTAGTCTACTCAAATTTTTTTCAAATTTTAACCATTTCTTTTTATTTAAATATTGCTTTTCTGGTCAAACAATTTGATGAATTAAACTCATTGTCATTGAATTAAACATTTTTTCACTTAGTAATCATAAATTTAGCATTATTGTTTATTAGCATTTATTTACACTGAAACTAAAAAATCTATCAGCTATCTCAATAAATCCTTACAGTTTTGTTTATGAACATACTCCAACAAAATCTTATTTTGAATGTGTTTAACTTTATACCTCAGCTCTACTTGAATAAGGATCTCAAACCACGGGTTACATGATAAATCTTCCATTAAAATACAGAATATCATGTTTAACAAGTTTTTTAAATCAAAGAATCCTAATAACAAACTCAGACTTGAAAAATCTTATATAGTATAAACAAACTTGTTACTTTTATCTGTTTAAAGTATAACGAACCATTAATCTAAAATTTTTGTATGATAATGCTAAAAATTTGAAATCTTTATGGGGTGATATAAAGAATCTTTTAAATATTTGTTCAAGAGTTTACTCATTCATTCTTACTACTTAACTATTAATAACTCTATGATATATAACCCCAATAAAAACTCAGAATCTTTTAATTTATTCTTTGTTTCAGAAAAAGTGATACTTTTGTGTTAATTATGTATTAAAAAGTTTCAGCAGCCTGTTATCACATTTTCAAAAAATATAATAAATCACATTCTTTTCGAATTTCCAAATACATATTTGTTAATTTAATGCATGTGAAGGCCATGAGAAGGAATAGGAGAAACTATAAAAAGAGAAGTTGCAAGTGACAAGCAATTAAAGATTCTCACACCAAAGAAATTGTTTAAATGTCTTATAAGTGATAAATATCTTATAAGTCTTATAATGTCTTATCTTATAAGTCTTATAATGTCTATATATCTATAAGTCTTATAATGTCTTATAATGATTATAATCTTATAATGTCTATATATCTATAAGTCTTATAATGTCTTATAAATCTTATAATGTCTTATAAGTGATAAATATCTTTTAAGTGATGTTATCGATACCCATTAAACTTATTTTAACTTTAAGAAATGATATGAAGGGATGCAGACAGTCTCAAGCACAAGAAGCTATTACTATTTTGTACCAGATAGAGAGTATTTGCTTTTACAGAGAACCTCTATTGATGTTGTCTATGATAACCATCGGCTAAATAATGTTACCTTGGTAAAAAAAGATTTTAATTTTCAAAACTGTTAAATACATTGCATGCTTTTACAAATATTACTGCTCTATAGGAAATGTTCTTGAGGTTTGTAATGAAAACCAAGATATTAATGTGCAATGGCTTAAACAGGAATGGCGTGCAATCGCACGCTGTAACTGACCAAGTTTATAATTTTTTTTCTTTACAACTTGACCACGGTGGTTTTGATGTTTTAGCAATTTAAATGCTATTAAAAAAATTGTTACTTTAATAACTTTTAATTGTTGATGTTTTTCAAAGTTTTTATTTTACAGGAAGGCTTTAAATAAAATAAAAAATTAATTATAGTGATTGTTTATAACAAATGCATTTTGTGTAAATTAACAAATAATATATATAATTTTTTTTTATGTATGCATCTTTTTTATTTTAATGATAAATTTAAATATTTAAAACTATTTTTCCATATCTTTCTAAAAAAATTTGAAAGATAATTTTTTTAAGTTACTTAGAACTATGAATAAGTTAAATTAAATCTTCTGTTACATCGAAATGATTTATTAAATAATTTTTTGTTTCTTTTTTTACAAAGAATTGTTTAAAATTTTTTTTTTAACTTGACTATTTAATCAGAGCATGAAACGATTAAAAATTACTATTTTAAAGAAGCTATGGTATTTTTTTAAACAATTGTTTTTTGTTGTTTTTTTACAGTTTTTTGGAAAAAATAAATGTTTATACAATTTAAAAACTATATATATAAGACTTTTTAATAATATAAATAAAATTTATTCATTCATTAAACCATCATTAGAAATAATTTGTAAATGCGTTTTGTCTAACTTTAAAAAAACAATTAAAAAGATAAGTTATTAAGTAATTTATTTTAAATGTGATTAAAACCCTAACAGAAAGTAACTTTCACTTAGAGTTTAATTTTTTGAGTTTTATTTTATTTTTTTTTTTTTCTCGTAAAGAATTATTTGCTTTTTTCATTATCATTATTTTTTTCCTAGTTTAAGTTTAGCTAGCTTTTCTTTTTCAGTGCATTTAAACATCTAAACACCAAGGTCATGTTGTCAAAAAATAAAATCATTTTTTTGGTCAACAATAGCGATTGATCGCACGCCATGTCCAAGCCTGCATCTTTAGAATCCACAGATGTAGTTGCAGAGGTGTAGTTATTCTTAATATAATTCAAACGACGTAACTAGATCTGTAATATTCATAAATTTTTTGCACAGATAATATTAGACACCAATGAAATTTCAGATGTTTTTGAACAGATGTTATTATACCTCACTATTCATAATGTTATAGGAAAGATGTTATTAGACACGGCAAAAACTGATGTTGTTGCCCTGACCCTTTTTTTACTCTCTTTAAAAACTTTTTTTCTAACAACTGTAATTAAAATAATTTTCCGACTTACAAATAAACAAAATCATTAATAGAAGTATAATTCAATTCAATTCAATATATTCTGAAATAAGTTGTAAAACTTCAAGGACTTTTACAATTAGTACAAGTACTAATCTAAAGTAAAAACCTGCAACATTGCAATAAAACTGATAATAATAACAATAATAATAGTATTGATAATAATTATAGAAATAGTATTAACAATAATAATAAGATGATGATGAAGAGGAATATTATATATAGTTAATATTATATATAGTATAGGAATATTATATATAGTTACAAAAGAAAAATTCTTACCTGGATAGATGAGGTAGAAAACCTGCATCCAGTGATATATATAGAGTTACTAAAGAAAACTTCTTACCTGGTAAATGAGGTAGAAAACTACTGAGATTATCTTTAATAACTTTATCATTGAACTTATTTAACACTTCGCCAAGATTGTTTATAAACTGTGTTGCTGTGGAAACGCTTTGATCAAAAGGTTGCGTTGCTAAAACATGTATACTTGTTAAAATATGCGGTAGTGGTGTAGTGGTAGAGCGCTCGCTTCATAAACGAGTGGTTCCGAGTTCGATCCCCACCATGTCCCTGGTAGTACCGCGCTCAACTCGTTTCTCCGCGCAGCGGCCTTGTTCGTCAAGGTTCGTGTTTCAGAGTTATAGAGTTGAGAGAGGGTTATAGCCACAAATAAGTAGCCTCCTCGTCTGTAGTGGCCTTCTCGGCCTTGAGGAGGTGAATTAAAATAAAATAAAAAAAAAAAAAAAAGATAGTGAATAAGATTCACAAGGATATAGGCCCCCTCAAATACAGTTTTTTAATAAGGCACTGCTATTATATAAGCTTATATTTATTATATTTCCTACATATACATTCCTTATATAAACCATATTTCCTACAAAAAGCCATGAAAATTAAGAATAATCAAAAGCAAAGTTTTTCTCAAAACATAAACTAAAATTTCATGCAATGTAGGATATTAAAATGATAACAAGTTAGAAGCATTTTTATTTTTATTTAGTCTTTCATAAAACATTTAAAAGTTTTGTGTATATATAGAGATGGCAAGGTCAAAAAGAAAACAAGTAAATCTTATTACCAAGTATTTAAAGTCCCTAAAGTACTTACTATCATATCTTTATTTAATTTTACTTCACCTTATGGTTTCACATTCATCAATTATTTTTATCAACGATGAACTTGTTATGCAAATTTCAGGAAAATTTCTAAGAAATTACTGTTTGTTAATTTGCAACTATGATTACTGCAAAACCATTCAGGTACAGAAATATGACTTAAACACAGTAAACATGCATGGTGCTTCATCAAAACAAAGTTTATAGTAAACAACACAATTATAAAGTTTTGTAAAACTTGTGGAGAAGATTTGTGTTGTTCTGCCAAAAAATCAAGATTAACTTTTTATAATCATCTTTGAAAATTATCAGAACCAACCTTCCCCAAACATCTCAAAGTTGGTTCTTTTTAGAATAACTTTGACACCCTCCAAGTCAATAACCCACATACTTTATTTGCTAGAATAGTTGGAAAAGCAAAAATCTATTAGCATTTTTTTGTATATTTAATAAATTTGTCAGCAGAATGGTCAACACAAATAGCTGTAAAATTAAATGAAACCTAATCTTTTTTATTAACAAAACATATCTATTAATCTTACAAATCATTTTCTTCAGGTAAATATATAATAAATATTGATTACTAAAACATTTTTTTTTTTAATTTATTTTGAAATGTAAACTTCTCTTACATTTACTGTTAAAATTATTCCCACTTAAACAACATCACATAAAAAATTTCATTATCTCTATTGGAATATAATGACATAGGCAACCAACCGAAAAAATCATGTTTATATTTTTCATGACTCAAAAAGCAAAAACCAAACGATGTAATAGTTGTCTCAATCAACCAAACTATAATAGTTGTCTCAATCGGTTTATCTTAATACAAATATTATTAATCCTATTAAACATAATAATAATAATAAAAAAGTTTTAGAAAAATGGCATCTTAATTTTTTACAGATAAAAAAACAAGTCAGACTGAGTAATTACAGTAGGCCATGGTCAATTTATATTTGAAAGCAATAATTATCTTAAGTTTGTTGATAAAAAATATTGTATATATAAAAAGTAAAAAAAAAAAAAACACACTTAAAACATTAAATAAATAATTTAATATCTATTTTATGTCTCATTTAGTTAAAGTTGGACAACTTAGTTTGAAAAAAAAAAAAATTATTAAAAAGTTCACTCTATTCATTTATTACTGAAAAAAAAATTTTGATTTTAAATTATCTCTCTTTGGCTAAGAGATTTGTAAAAAAAACCTTATATGCATTTGTTTTTAAAAACTATCCTTAGTATTTACAATATTCTGATATTTGAGAAACTCCACTGTTAACTCCTTTTTACTTGGGCATGTTATTACAATTACAATTCTTTGTTCTTTGTTGCTTAAAAATGTTCTGCACCAAGGCCTTCTTAAACAGGCCGCGACAGCTCATTTTCCGTAAAATTAGCGAAGGCCGACTTTTTTACGGTTAAAATTATTTTTTATCTTTGCTTTTGTAAACAAACTTCAGAAACAAATAAAGAGCTTTATTAGGACAAAACATATTGATTGAATTTCGAAAGCAAATATTGAAGGAATTTTTTTTTACGTTTAGAAATAAGTTAATTACAATAAAAAATTAAGGAGTTTAGCTAAAAATGACTAAATCTCGTTTTTATAACTATATGTTTATTTTAGCTGTTTAATACTTGTAATACAAATAATAAATTTTTTGATAAAAACAAACAAATATATTAACTTTATTTTATTAAAATTTTTTTGAATTTTTATGACTCAAAGTGTTTTATTTTGAAGTTGAAAGTTTTGCTTGTTTTATTAAACATTCTTTCCCAAAATCTTTAGAGTGTTTTTTACAATAATTGTTTAAAAAAATGTTTGCCAAAATGCAGCAAACTTTTTTTGCTGTTTAGGACAATATGTTTTGTCCTAATAAAGCTCTTTTTTTTATTTGAGATCAAAATATACTAAACGAGATTTTGAATAAAGATGCAATGCATCAGAAATATCTTCTAAAGAAAATGGTGTATTGTTTGTTTTATTTAATAAAGCTACTTGATGCCTAATATAACTTGCTCGCTTAGAACCTGTTTCATTATTAATAACATAACTAACAGCATTCACAAGTTAAGAATAATATTTATTAACCCCTTTGTTTAAAAAAGACAGTTTAATTTGTAAAAGTTGGCTTTATCCAGTAAAATAAATATCTCCAGAATCTTTTAAAAGTTATATATATTGAAAACTTAGGTACTGGTCCACAATGTTCATATGATATTAAAGATATATTTTTTTCTTTTTCAACAAAATAAAATTTTTCTTCACAGTTATTTATTATTGACTTCAAATTTTTTACAATTGAATTAAATTTAACAACGTCCATTTTTTTGAAGTTTTCGAACTCATCAGGTAAATTATTTCTTTCAGAGCATATTAACCCAGTGACATCTCGTTTTCTAGACACTATTGAAATACAAGACACTGGTATACCTTTAAAGACTGATGGAGGATGTACTTGAACAAAACTACCACCTTTGACTTTTTTTAATTCTGCATCTTTAGGCCAGTGCTGAGCACAAATTCGCTTATAATCTGTAAACACAAAGTTTGCATTTGGAAGTTTTTTAATCCATAACTTATAGTTTAAATCAAACAACCAAAATCCTCATTGAAACTATACTTCTCCGTAAAAAAGTCGGCCTTCGCTAATTTTACGGAAAATAAGCTGTCGTGGCCTGTTTAAGAAGGCCTTGTTCTGCACCAATTTAATAACCTGTATTGAATTCCATATGCCTCTAATTAGATACATAGTAATTCATGCTGAACACAGAAAAAGACTTTAAAATCTACAAATGCAATGCCAAAAGTAGTCGTTGTTTACAGCCTGAGAGATAATATCTAAGAATTCTAGAAATTGTTAGGTTACTTAAAATAAACCCATGCAGCTATTTTGAAATGAGATTGTTATGCTTCATCATAGGTTCTCATATAAATTTTCAAATGACTTTACATATAGATGTGTGTGAGGCCGTTCTTTCATATTATAGTAGTGTAGTGATAATTTTATTTGCTTACAAGGGCTCACTCTGTAAACAAGTAAAATTCCAATATAAACATACATGTAATAAATATTTGCATTCAAATTATGGCTCATTTGATTATTTTATTGGTTTGAATCAAATTTAGGTGTTAAGAGTAAATGAAAACCTAATCTAGTCGAAGAAAACATCAAGATACCTAGTGCAAAAAAAAATCCACATATTAGAAAGATATCATTTTCTTTTTCAATTTAGACAAACTCCTAGGTCAAGTAATGTTATGTTTAGGAATCTCCACCTAAAAATGTCAATTGTAGAATAACCTGATGATACTATGTTTCATGAAAGTTTAGACAAAGGCAATGCTGACTTTATTTATGTGTTACACATAATATTATATTGTTACACATATTTAAAAAAATAAAGAATTGTTACACATTATATTTTAAAAAAATAGCAAAATATTACATTTTTTTATTACAAAACTGATGTTGATAGGTTTGCACTTTAAACATAATAGTTTTTTAACAAATATTTTGGAATATTGCAAAAAGATATCATAAGGTTTATCTGTTTTATAATTTTGTGATATAATTTTTTGTTTGTTTTTTGTTTTAATTAAATCTAGCCATAAGTTACTATGAAAAAATATTATCTATAAGTTACTATATTTATGTTTGTGTTCTGTTTGAACATCTGGTGTAGTGTTAGCTCAGTTACTAACTAGTGACTACAATTATATTGTGTACCATATAACTTAATTTCAAGTATACCTTTAGATCAAATCTTTTTCTTAATGTGTATTTAAAATCTTTCATTCAATGTTAGTGTACTTCCACCCAAAATTATTTTCCTAGAATAGCCCCTACATAGCCCCTACATATATACATATACATATATATACAATAATATTTTGTTTCAACAATATAACTACAGCTGATAACTTATTTTAAAATGTTGATCTTTTCAAAAATGCACTGAAAAAACTTATCTAGACTTAAACTAAAAAAAAAACTTTAAAATAAAATCATTATTTAAAAAAAAAAAATCTTAATGAAAAAGAAAAAAAAAAGAATTAAAACTAAAACTAAACCACAAAAAATAAAACTCAAAAAACAAAAATGCTAAGATTATTTAAATCAAGTTTTAAACTACGTTAAAAATAGTAAACTTCAAATTGTTTATCTTAATTAATGTTTTTTTAATAATATGCATATTATTATAAAACATTAATAAAGATGAACAATTCAAAGACACTTGAAAAGCTATAAACAGTGAAAAAGTAGAAGGAAACAAGTGTAAGCAGAATCTAATAATGCTCTTACTGAAAAAGTTATTTTAAGGCAGAGAAAGAAAGAAAGTGTTTAAAAAATAGTAATAAACACTTCTAGTGTTGTTAATTAGGCAATTGTTTAATAAATATGCACATTTAAATTAAATTATAGTGTTTTTTTTTTTACTAAATTAAAAATAGTAATTTGCCATATTAACGTTTGCTTTTAAACATTAGAAACATTAACTTTGTCTGCATAATTTGTACTATGAGGCATAACTATTGCCTAATAAACAACACTAGAAATGTCTCAACAACTATTTTTTCAACACAATATTTCTTTCTTTTTCTGTCTCAAGGTTACTTTTTCAGTAAGAGCATCACCAGATTCTGCTTACACTTGTTTTCTTCCTTTTTTGTCACTGTTTTAATCTTTTTGAGTACCTTCAAATTTAGTAATCATTAATAATCAAGTACAAAATACAAAATAACCACAAATACTGCTTATTTGTGACTATTTTGTATGAAACAAAATAAACTGTACAAAGCAAAACTTGCTTTTTTCTGTCCCGTGTGTGAATTTTTTTTATTCAGTAAAGGCAGTATGTTGCAGTGTGACTGTATAGAGTCTGGAATAAGAGGAAACCATACTATAAATTCCTAATGGTATATAACAAGGAACTTTCCCAATTGTAGAGGACTTTTCTGAGCTTTTTATATTTAACATTTTTTTCTATTTCAATTATTGATTTAAATAATTAACAACTTCAAAAAAAGTTATTATTTCTAAAAAGATTTGAAACAATAGTTAACCACACTAACTGTATCAACAAAAAACATGTACTACTTTTAATCAGGAATTTTATTGCTCAATGGAATCATTTCGCTTTTGTAAAGAGAATGGAGTATGCTTGCTAAGCTTCCTTCACCATACTACTAATTATATGCAGCATTTTAATCTTAGGAAATTCTCTCCATTTAATGTTGCAATATTCTCTTCATTTATTGCACAAATACAGTTTGGTAAATAGCATTGTAAATCAGTTGTTACAAGTTATTTTTACATATTTAGTGAAAAAAAAATTTGTACAACAAAACATATCAAATATAAAATGATTATTAAAATAGGTTGTTATTCTTTAGATAGTAAACCTATTTTAATAAAAACCCTAATAAAATCAAAAAAAAAAAATTTAACTACCCAATGGGTACAATCAACCACTTTAAATTTTACTATTAAAACAGTTGTTGAATTTACACAAATCAAGATTTTAAATACATTAGTTGTTAACATTGTTTGCTAAAGATTGCTGCTAAAGTTCATTTGTTTCTGGCATAACATTGTTTTTTGTAATAATAATAATAATAATAATAATAATAATAATAATAATAATAATAATAATAATAATAATAATAGCAATAATAATAATATAAATAATAATAATAATAATAATAATAATAATAATAATAATAATAATAATAATAATAATAATAATAATAATAATAATATATATATATATATATATATATATATATATATATATATATATATATATATATATATATATATATACAGTATAAGGTACAAGGTTCAAGTAAAGATAAAAATTAATGATAATTAATTAAAAGTTCTGTTTAATCTATACACAATTGCATTATATTGATTTATAAGGCCAAGTCTGTAGTTATGCAATAAAGTATCTAGATTAGGCAAGCCTAGTACCATAAACATAATTGTAGCACTTAATTGCTTGTCATATCCAAAAAACATTTTAGTACATTTCTTGTAACGAGAGTCTAGCTTTAACATAGTATTTGCACTAAAATTAATCCATAGAGCCACATCATAAAGAGGCAGTAGTTTAAATGGCTGCAGTTTTAGTAGTTTAAATAGCTGCACTTTTACCTTAATCAAGCATTTCTTGAATCATCTGATTAATAGCTTGCATAAAGTATAAAGACATTTAATCTCTCGATTTGTATCAGTATTATCAAACAAACTATTTTCTTTTATGTGACCTAAATACTTGAATTTGTCAATGAATACTAATTCATATCCAGCTATGGTAAACAATGGAAAATTGCTTGAAACAATCTTACATCTCTGTTTTGGGTTAAATACCATACACACCATTCTTTTTTTAGTATTAAATAACATGTTAATGGCAGCGGCTTCAACATTTAATGCAGTTAATAATTTTTGCAATGCAAACCAAGATGGAGCAATTAGTAAAATATCATCGGCATATGCCAAAAGATTCAAAAAAGTTCTACCTATGTTACATCCAATATGCATATTCGCAATATTGAAAACCAGTTCTTATATACAATATGAACAAGAACGGTGAAAGAATTCTACCTTGTCATACACCATTGCTTATGTTAAAGCTATCAGAGTATATATTCATACAACCCTCGGAATTAGGAAAAAAGAGGTCAATCTTTTAAAGGTCGGCAAATTGGTACATAGGTCTTACCATAAAACATAGAAACGAGGTTGGCAATTTTTTGCCGACCTTAAACACTTTAAGGTCAGCATTGCCAAATGCTGACCCTAATTCTAAAGGTTGTATGTATGTATGTATGTATGTATGTATGTATGTATATATATATATAAATATTCTACTAATTTATAATTACTCTGTTTTTTTTAAGAACATTAAGAACTCTATTTTGTAGAATACATTTTAAACTTATATATATATATATATATATATATATATATATATATATATATATATATATATATATTATATATATATATGTGTGTATATATATATGTGTGTATATATATATATATATATATATATATATATATATATATATATATATATATATATATATATACATATATATATATATATACATATATATATATATATATATATATATATATGAATTCACCATGAGTTCAAATAAAAAAATAATGACAACACCACGAAGGCCACTACAGCTGAGGAGGCTACATAAGATGTGGCTACAACCCTCTCTCAACTTTATAACTACCAAACACGAACCTGGACAAACAAGGCCGATGCACAGAGAAACAAGTTGAGAGCGGCACTACCAGGGACATAGTGGGGATCGAACTCACAACTTCTCACTTATGAGGCGAGTGCTCTACCACTACACTACTACTGCATGTACACCACTACTACATATCACGGATAAATATATATATTAGGGTACAAAAACAACATGGAAAAACAATAATTTTTAAAAGTTGTCTTGTCTGAACTCTAAATGTGCTCTATATAATAAAATAATACTGAATTTAAAAATTTTTTGAACAAAAAATATTTTTTGGAGATGCCCTAAGACCCTTTAACATTTAAAGGGTCCCTAATATATATGTTTATATATATTTATTATTATATATATATGTTTATATATGTTTATTATATATATGTTTATTATGCGGTAGTGGTGTAGTGGTAGAGCGCTCGCTTCATAAACGAGTGGTTCCGAGTTCAATCCCCACCACATCCCTGGTAGTACCGAACTCAACTTGTTTCTCTGCGCAGCGGCCTTGTTCGTCAAGGTTCGTGTTTCGGAGTTATAGAGTTGAGAGAGGGTTATAACCACAAATAAGTAGCCTCCTCGTCTGTAGTGGCCTTCTCGGCCTTGAGGAGGTGAATTAAAATAAATAGAAAATAAAAAAAAAAAATGTAAAAAAAAATTCTTTAAAAGTATTTATTTTACATTACATATACAACATTAAAAAAAAAAAAATGAAGTTATATAAAAATTTTGAAAACAGTAATTGATTTGTGTAAAAACTTATGTTTTAAATTTTTTTATAAAAACTTTTGATTTTAAACTAAAAATAAAAAAAAGTGCATGTTTTTGAAGATATTTCTTTTCCTCAATATATATTTTTTACAAAACAAATATAATTTTTTAAAAACTTTTACATAATCATGCTTTTTTTGAGTAGCAGATTGACCTACTTTTTTATATATATATGGGACCTTTAAATATTCAAGGGTCTTGGGGCACCTCTAAAAATATATATATTTTTTAAATTTAAAAATTTAGTGCTATTTTATTATAAGGAACACATTTAGAATTCAGACATGGCAATTAAAAATTTTTTTTTTTTGATGCACTCTAATATATATATATATATATATATATATATATATATATATATATATATATATATATATATATATATATATATATATATATATATATATATATATATATATATATATATATATATATATATATATATATATATATATATATATAAAAGGGAATTATTTAAGCAAAACATACCTTTTAAACGTCTCAATAAATGAAATGGGATTCCGGGATCTGTACTGAAGAAATTAACCGAATCAACTGCATCTTCAACTGGCAAAGGCATTTTCATTTTTTAAACATTAGATTTTTCTTTTTTTCATTTTATAAAAATATTACTTGTAGGTTCATCTACTAAGTGAAAAAAAAATACAAAATTAAATAACCTAAAAATAAATTTCTAAATTTAATATATACAAATATCTGTATTATTATAACAGCTGTCATGAACTACTTTAATATAAAACAAGTAATAAATAACCTGAAAAAATATTGTAAAACACAAAAATGATTGGGTATAATACGTATGTATAATATTATATAAAAGTTTACTTTTTTTTAGAGACTGTAAAAAAAATACAGTTTAATATTGAAGTTTTAAATTATTGGTATGAAATAAATATTATTATAACCAATATCAAAAAATAAGGGCTTAATAGCATTTTAATTGATGATTAAATATAACTTAAAAGACTCGAAATACATTTTTTTAAATTCCAGTACCAAAAATCTAGAAATCTCTAATCGTTTTTCCAATTACCGTATTAATTACAATATCATATTGTAATTGATACGGTAATTAGAAAAACGACTTCTACATATTGAATATATGTTAAAAAGCCACTTTATTTTGTTTCAATGCTTGATTACTTAATTTTTCAAAAAAAAAAAACGCTAATATAACTTGTCGTTTTAAATGACCTAAATAATTCTGTTTACTAGACATCTCGTATTGAAGTAACAAATTCAAAACACGCAATATTTAGATGCAACAAAAGCTTTTAAATATTTTCAAAGTGAATTTTTTATAAACTTGTTGATTAGATTTACATTCTGCTTTTAAAGCTTCCTCTGTTTTAAATCCTATATTTAAATACTGTATATATTCACCGCCGCACAGTGGGCGAATTTTCAAAAAAACTGACCATAAGTCAAAAACTAAAAATTAGAATTATGAACTTATTATTTTGTAAAAACGTAAACAAAGTTTACGTTTTTACAAAGTAAATAAATTTACAGAATAAAACCCTGTTGCGTTTTACTCTTTAAAAAAAAAGTTTATTAAGTTTTATTGTTACCTACATCCACGCAGTTAAACATCTCTGATTGAAAACATGCATTTTGTGGTTTTATAAACAATAAAATTATGAGCTCAAATAAGTATTGTTTACAAAAAAGTTATTTATATAGTTTTCAAGGTATTTATATAATGTTTTAATAAAACTTTTGAATTATTTTTATTTAAATTTTATGCTAAAAGTGATTTCAAAATAGAAATGATTTTTTTTTCCTAAAGTTATTTTTTAAAAGTTGTATATATTTATATCGAGATCCCACTTAGTTATATAGTTATATGATGGGACCTCATCTTTTGAGGGCCGGGCGCAACTGCCCTCAAAAGATGGGGTCCCAGCAGGGCCGACGATTTTTTTTAAATATACATGCCACTGCAATCGTGGATTTGTTAGGGCCTCTATATCACTACTGCAAGGACCTAAAAATGTATAAAATGCAGTGGCGGATTGAGGTTTAGCGTCGTGGGGGGGGCATGGTAATGAGTAGAGGGCGACAAGGGTTGAAGGTGGGACATTACCCCTAAAAACGGTTTTTTGAGAATCGCGCTTGTGATAAATATATCAATGCTTTTATGTGCCTTTTATTATAACTATTAAGTATATCTAAAACATTAAACAATCTAAAGTTTGATTTTGGTAAGTTTACTTGGTTAGCAATTATCATGAAAAAAAAAAAAAAAAAAAGTTTATATTTACACAATACATATTACTGAAAGCAAGCACTGAGAAAAAAACTTACTCTCCTGCTAGTTTATATATATATATATATTTTTTTTTGCGAGATCATCATAAGGACTAGTGACTTTCGTAAGACGTTGTATAGACGTCCAACGGACGTCTGTGCCCTTTGGGTTGAAACAAAATGATTGTCAGTGCTTTCAGCAAGCTCACATTCAATTAAAGTAAATGGCAATACAAAAAAGACGTTGTTTTGTCATTGTTAATCACTGATAATTTTTGATCTCTTTTTTTTTTTTTTTTTAATTTTGTATAAGTGCCCCAAGAAGTCCTTACGGACTTATCACAGAGCACCGCGGATGAGCATATAATGTTGATTAATCTAATTGGAAGTTTACGCCTCCTTCCTAACCGATGTCGCAAAACTTGCCCAAAGGTGGCGTTTGAACCACGGATCCTATGTTTCTGAGGCAAGTGCGCCACCACCGCGCCACGGCTGCTCAATCTTTAGTTTACTGAAACTTCTCTCATCATAAACATATGTAAAAGAAAAAGTCAAGTTGATTTTGTAGAGTATAGACAAGTTAGAAAAACATAATGTCATCTATTTTTCTATCAAGATTAGATGTACGCCGTTCATTTATAGTTCAGTTGTCACTGCTGAAGATATTAATGCATACACATATTTGAAAGAGGGACGCCGCGAGAAGATTTCAAGTGGGGAGGGGGTGCCATACGAGGAGTTTAGATTTGTTTTTTGTATGCTAAAAACATTTGTAGCATCTAAATTCCTCCACTATGTTGAAATCAGTTAATTTAAAACTTTTTGTTTTTTTCCTTTTTACAGTTGATTTGATTTTAACTATTTTAAAAATCCATTGAATGTGTACATTATGATTATGAGAAATATTTTCTCAGAACAAAACGTTTCTGTTTTGTTTTCTGCCACAATTGCGGGAAATTTTGTAAATGGTTTAATGATACCTAGTTTTCTATTTCCATTGAAATAAGAGCAGAAATTTGTAATGAAAAGTTTATATTTTGACTGAATTAGGGAGCGCGGGAGGAATAATTTGTTTTTGTCATATGCATACATCTGCTTTTAATTTTTCAATGTAATACAATTTTTTTTTTTATTGATAAAAAGGCTGAAAGAGCATTACTTACGTTATGAACTTAATATGAATTATGTTACAAGCTTAAATTTAAAAATTTATTTTTACTGCATAAGTATCTTTTTAAATGAAAAAACTAAAACAAAAAAATATTTGCACAGTAATTTTTTTAGTTTTAGTCAATCTGACCCGGAATTGTAAAATTTTGAAAAATCCAAAAAATCGACCAAAACTAATTTAAGGCATTGCTCTCTAAACTATTTTTTCTTATAAGTTAAAATATAGAGAAACTCAAAAGAGAGACTGACTTATTTTTTTACTATTCTCTGGAAAAAAATTTGTTTCTTCTGCATTTTAAGATTCAGATAACAACTTCAGAACTGTATTCGGTGACATTCAGATGACTTCAGAACTGGATTTGATGATAGTTACATAGACAGCGTTTATTAATTACTAATTATAGTGCAGAATTAGCATCATCAAACATGGCAAGGCCTCATGTTATATGGTTGTTTAAATGTACTTTTTTTAACGACAATTAAAAATACCTTATATAATTGACTGACTGTGTCAATTTAAAAGCAAGAAAAATTTTTCTGTGGATAAAAATTTCTTAGCAAATAAAAATTCTTTTTTTAAATATCTTTTTTTAGGAATGGGGCCCCAAATAATTTTTTCACCGGACCCCTAAGACCCTTAATTCGGCCTTGCTTGGATGTTGTTCATAAAGTTTATTTTAAAGGTTCATGAAAAAATAATGCACCGTTTTTTGCTCATTTTTTCATAAAGTTAAAGTTCATGTACATATTATAATTATTTAGCAAAAAAATTATAAAGATACCTTAATTAGCATAAATAAAAAAGAAATGCGTTTGATTTGGTAGAAATTGTAATACTAGGGTTGTTAACCGGAGGATTTCGTGCAATTCCGGAAAAACAACATTCTTTTGTAAGGAGATTGAGAACACGGAATTACATTTTTTCGTACCGAATGTTACAAAACATTTAAAATCGCCGATGTTCATTTCGCAAAAGCCACTTCCGAAATTTAGCATTTTGCAAGTTGACATACGAAACAAAACTATTTTGCAACATACGAAAGTAGCGGTTTCGGAAGTCGCACTTGCGAAACAAACATTTTCGCCATACGACGTTATGAAGTCTATAAAGAAAATTTGTTTGCCAGACTGATTTTAATTGTAAAAATTAACATCTTTAAATCCCAAAATGTTTATAATAAATTTTTATTTTCAGTATAATAACTATTAAATTTTTATGGTTTTATTTTTAGAAATATTGATAAAAAATAAAATTTCTTTCGAAACGAAAGTATTTCGGATCACAACATACGAAAGAATTCTTAACGGAAATAAACTTACGAAACGTGTCATAATAAATATATACAACGATGTTCTTTGAACTCATTACGTATATTAAAAATAAGAATGATGGGTAGGAATGTACATGTTTTTTTTTTAAAGCATATGAAATTTTTGAAACAGGTTCGAAAATGCTTAAGCAAATAGTAAAAAGAGGCTCAAAAATATGCTTTAGCTTAAGCATATTTCTGATAAAATATACCTATTTCAATAATTTCTAAAAGTGTGCACGTTACTAAAGTTCTAGCAGATTTTAAAGGTATGTAGAGTCCTGTTTGAATACGCTTTTCGAAGTATAGATCTTAGAAAATATTGTTTTTTAATTTTAATAAGATATAAATTTGAGTATAAGATTGTAAAGATCAATCAGTTAGATACGTGATAATTCGCCGCAGAGATCCGGGTTCGCATCCCGCAGCCATTGTAACTTTTGTTCATCAAACTCTTTTTAGTTAAGATAACATTTTTTGACCTCCATGTTCTATATTACAGATCTTTCGTCACCTTCACAATAGTGACAACCTCTCTTCTGTTAGTTATTCTTTTAAGATTGAGTTCATTGTGCTTAATTCAACACGTTTCCCTTGCTTTACTAAGTTCTACTTAAATTATGATGAAATGTACGTAAAACAACTTTTTCAAATAATATAAATCATTTTGCTCTAAATCTTTTGCTTTTTGTACTAGACATCTGTCCTAAATACTTTGTAATAATTTCTAGCTAACTTTGAGTCTAATATAACCATTTCTGAATATAATTTCCCTGAGGCTCCTACAGCCTATTGTGTTCCATTAAAAGTAACTAGTTTTTGAGTCCGCTGTTTCACATATATTTCTTCTCTTTTTACTCTTTCTGATATCATTTACCTTTAGAGAGATCTCTCGTTCTTTATAATAAAGTATTTAATTGTTTA